ATCATGCTTCAGCTAAAACTCACTGCCACATCAGTGGCCTTGCGGTATCCAAAATATTTTATTTAAAACATTGAAAATTCAATGTACTTGGCAACAGCAAAATACAAAAAATTAACAGTGTTCCCTACTTGAAGTCAATTATTCTACTACCAATCTGTAAATTCTTTTGATAGCTAGTGGCTAGCAATATAAATTCTGTGACACTGGAGTGCAAGATTATGTGAAATTCACATGGTAAACATCTTGGTAAAAGCACTTGGCCTCCCCTGGGCACATCATAACTAGTTATTTATGGATATTCAGACATTCAAAATTAACAACCTAAGTATGACTGGCTTTGCTTATGAAACTCTTTAAAAAATTAAACCTAGTGTACTTAAAGTTCCTGTATATGACTAAATATAAAGCAAGTACATATTATCCCCCAAAACTAATATTTTTAGACCTTAAAATATCTCTCATATTCCCAAATACTTTTTCAATTACTGTTTTCTGAATAGCGAATATACTGTTTGGTGAAGAAGCAATACCCTAACGTAATTTCGCTTAATGCTAGCTTGGGATCCTTCACCTGACTAAATTACTAAAGTACGCAAACATCTTTTACACATATGTAATAATTATTTTTGGATGTAAAGCCACATAATTGCTAGTATCAATTGTGGCTGTAATTAAGCCTTTTAAAGAGCAGTTTAAATGCAATATAGTAGGAAGTAAATGCAATATTGTGGTAATTACTAATATATGTTAAGACAAAAAAGAGACAAATCAAAAACAAAAACCTGTCCTAATAATATGTAATGAATACTGTGCTTTGGATAAAAGTTTCTAAACAGCATCATAAATAGGGTCAAAAAGTGTAGTTTTTTTTAAAAAGTTACATATGTTCTAGGAAAATGGTACCAGATGAATATACTTATTTCACAGATAATAAAAATGCCCAGACAGGAATGTCTGCATTATAGAAATACATTTGTATAAGAAATTACTTCAGAATATTATTAGAAGTAAAAAATTTTTCCCTGTTGGGAAAGTGTTCTTTTGTTCATGCCAGGATAATCTCCCCTAAGAACTTTATTCTTTAGGTGGTATAACACTTCATCAAATGTAAAAATATTTAATTTTATATCATAAAAAATTGTTGGGGGCTGAAGGGAGGATTATGGTATTCTGATAACATTCTATTTATTGAACTGGCTGTTTGCTTCACAGGTATGTTTAATTTATTAAAAAATTAACAAGCTGTTTATGATTTGTTCATCTTTTTCAGCATGTATGTTATATTTAAAGATAACCTCTGTTACTGATTAAATTGTTCCAGCTTCAGGAATATACAAGATTTCTTGTTTATAGAATGTTAATTCCAAAAGCATAGATCCTAATTTCTCAGAGTTATTTTTTTTCCTTTTTCCTTATTTTTTAAAGAAAACAGAGAGAATTAATAGACATTGCAGTCAATTGCCATGTGTGATTCTTAACAGGATCCAGACTCAAAACAAATGGCTATAAAATGCATACGAATATAGACTAGGTATTAGAATATGGACTGAGTATTAGAAATTTGAATATGTTCTAGATGTTAAATGTTAGGGAATTATTTTTAATTATGTTAGGTGTGATAGTAATACTGGTATTGTGAAGGAGAATAGTATCATTTTTCTAGAGATGTATGTGAAGTATTTATGGGTAAAGCATTTTGATGTTTTATTTATTTTAAAATGGTTCAA